CCTGCTCAGTAACTCTGCTAATTAAATCATTAATATAAATTATTAAAAGATCATTCAAATCCCCTCATAACCAGCCCCCCCCCTCCAGTCTTCTTACACCTTCTTCTCCACGACTCCTGCTCTTCAGTCAGGGACATTGGCCCCCTGGCTGCTTCACAAACGAAACCCTTCATCTCTCAGCTCTGGGCATTTTCTTGGCTGTCCCCCACACCTGGCATCCTGACTACCGGCCTCCCTGGCTTCCTTTGAGTACCGACTAAAATCTCACCTCCCACAGGGAAGCCTTCCCTAACGCCTCTTAAGTCCATTACTTCCCACTTATCCTATGTGTTTGTATATGTTTGTTTTCATGTGGTCTCCAACCTGCAGACTGTAAGCTCCTTGAGGGCAGGGATTGGTTTTTGCCCTAGCACTTAGCCCAGTGCCTAGCACACAACAGGTACTAAAGAACTGTTTGTTGATTGACTGATTTGTGCAGTTCTAAGTTTCAATAGCTTTAAACTACACTAAGACTTTTGGGACAACCTGTATCAACAAACACCTAGTAGTTAAATGAAAGGTAGTTTGGGAGTGAGGGCCATTGGCTCAGAAAATGTCGTCCAGAAGATGATGCGTGAGCTGCATGCTGATGGCAGACACGTCCTCTGGGAGGTGGAGGTGAGGACCGAGTGTGGAAGTGGGAGTCTTTAGAAGAGAAGATTCAGAGAGCACATGATGGAAATGGGTTAGGCTTGTTCTGCCAGGGCCTAGAGGTCAGAACTAGAAGCACTTAGTGAAAGCCTGCAACTGTCAAGTGTCAGCGTGATGGAAGAGAAAGCTTGTAAGCAAAAAGAGCCACTCAACAACAGAATGAGCTTTCTTTGGGGGTGACAGGTTCCCCCTTCCTTCACGCAGAGCGGGGTAACCAGGGTTTGGGTAGAACACAGAGGAGGCCATTCTTGTTGATGCATGAAATTGGACTGGATTTCCTGTCCATATCTCTCCCAACTCAGATCCTGTGATTATTTTGTGTGCCCAGCCCTCCACCCTGTTACAATTTCATTTATTTCACAAAATCACAGGATTTTCAGAGTCAGAAGTGTCCTCAGAACCCATCCAGTCCATCCCATACCCAACAGGATTGGATGAACCAGATGGCATTCCCAGTATGACACCTCCAACATTTGTACCATCATTCAGACCACTGGGGTCAAACTCAAATGAAAATGGAAGTCACTAAACCATACACAAGGATGCCTGTAGGCTGCATACAGACTTAGAAAACCACATATTAACACTGTCTGTTTTCTATCATATTTTTATTTTGTTAAGTATTTCCCGATTCTATTTCAGTCTGATTTCACCACTCAGAAGTTGCAGGACTGCAGAATGTATGCAGCTGTGGGGTGCATGTTTGACATCTCTGAGTTACACGATATGTCTTGATCTTTTACAGAAGAAAATCATAAATAGTTTATTAAGACTTTATTTCCTGAAATTCAGGGAAACCATAGCTGTGGCCTTCCCCTGGCCTACCAGAGGAGAAACCCCACCAACTAGAGAACTCAGGCTTGTCCTGCACAACTTGTTCCTGAAGCCCTCCCAGCTTTTCTGTGTCTACGGCATTTCCTGTTCAAGATAGCATTCCTTTAGTCACTCTTCCTAGAGCATTGCCAGCAATCAGCATCACTCATTGGCCTACAGGCTGCAGGCTCAATTTTGCTCTTGAAAAAAAATGGCACATTTACATTTCCTGAATCCTGTTCAATCTCCACACATCACAAAGATCCCAGACAGAGGCTCTGTCATGAGTCACCTTCTCAGGTGAATGAGAGGAGGTTCATCCCGGCCAGGAGACTCTCACCTCTGCTTCACAGCCACTGTCTGCGTCTCTTTAATCCATCCTCCAAACGGATACCAGAGGAAAGTCCTCTCGCACACTCTCCCTACTAAACTTTGGAACTGGGTCCCTAGGAGATATTGTTCTGTATGTTACACAAAACGCAGCATGGTGAGACCAGTGGGGTCCTGGGCTAAGAGTCAGAAAGAGCTGGACTCAAACCATCTCTCCTACTTACTGGCTGTGTGAGGCTGGGCAAGATACAATGCACTTGAGTCTCAATGTCCCCAGTAGTCAAATAAGAATGACTCTGGGATTCAAATGAGATCATGGATGTAAAACACTTTCGCAAACTTTAAAGTATTATGCAAATATCAGTCGTTATTGTCATAATTATTACATGATTAATGCATCAAAGATCTATTTTAAAAGAGTTGATAGGTGAGGTCTAAGAAGGAAGGTGGTGATGAAAAGGGAGAGGAAGGGAGGGATCCTAGGGAAAAAAGGACTCTAGAAGAAGATCCTAGGGAAGAAGGAATTCTAGAAAGGTGGACTTTGAGTTGGACTTTGGAAGATGGGAAAGAATTCAAAATACCAATAGGAGAAGCAAGGGGGAGGCACAGGGAGCAAGAGGAACAGATGCAAGGAGGTAGAATGGTGCGATGCCTGTGCAGGAAGGAGAAAGCAATCCGGTTTGGCTGGAGCACGGCCAAATGCAGGGGAGTAATAGCAGGCTGGAAAGGGAGAGTGTCACCAGAGTGCCGAGCGCCTTGAATATCAGGTAGGGGAGAATCCACTCTATTCAACAGGAGTCCTATGGGAGCTGGTCACTAGGAAACATGCTGACCCAGTGGCCACAGCATGTAAAGCGATACCCAGTGGTGGGGGGACAAGAGAACAGAATCCCTGCTGCATTACTCTAGGGGTTCGTTTCTGCTCTACCACGTTTTCCCCGATACACTCATTTTCTTCTCCTAGTTTGCCCCCACTTCATCGTTTCATCCCCTTGGCTGAAGTGGTGAGGAGATGTGCAAGCAATAAGGAATTCTGGATTGCAAGCGCCCTCCCCACTGAGCAGCCCGGCAGGTCGGAGAACTCGGAGAAGGCCCAGCCCAAGGCTCAGAGCAGTGACCAGAGGTATTCATTTCCAAGTTGTACAAATGATAAGTGTAGAGTCAGGCTCTTAAGTTTAGATTCCTAAGGATTCCCTCATTACTCCTATCAATTCCTCCATTCCCTGAATTACAATGATTTCAGTCTAATTCCCAAAACTTTATCTAACACTTAAGATGTTTCCAGGCAACTCTCTTGAAACAAGGCCTGTCCACATAACCAGTGTCTATGGCCTCCAGGACCCTCTGCAGCATCGGCCCCACCCCCCAGGATAAGACACCCACCATCTCCCAATCCCCCAACCTTTTCCAGCATAGAGATAGTACGGCTATCTCCTTTGCCCTGCCTGCTATAAGCCAGCCTCCCAGGAAATCACCGGAAACATCACAACCCGCCATGACCTCACACAGTCTAGCCCCCCCACCACAGACCTCTTTCTAACCACTGAAACGCCATCAGGACTCATTTCTAGATGATCAGCTGCTCTTGCTCTCTTATCCCATCTCCCATCACATTGATTTGAAGCTCCTCTCACTCATCCCCTGCCCCACTCACGGCCTGTGGTGCAGGAGGCAGAACATTCCCTGGCCCCCACTGCCACATCCAGACTCTCCCTCTGGCCATCTTCCTTGGACGTAATAGCCAAACATATCACCAATCAGAATTGCACCGACCCTTAGCTATACTGAAAGTGTATTCACGCTCCATCTCTCCCTTCCCCCCATTTCCCATTCGATAAAATCCAGTTTTCCATATTCCTTATAGGATCAAATAGTTAGTCCTCTGTTTGGCACTTACAACTGTCCATCACCTGCTCCCTCATATTTTCGGGGTTTCTTACCCCTTACTACTCTCCACACACTCGCCATCTGGCTACAATGGCTCAAATATCTCACCTCCCACCTCCATGACTTTGGCCTGTGCCTTAAATAGGCTCCTTCCTCACTTATCCTTTAGGCCCCCTAGCTTCCTACAAGATTCAGCTCAAATGCCACTGTTCACAGGAGGCTTCTTCCTGTTACCCAGCTGCCTGTGCCTTGCCCTCTGAGATGCCATAACCTCTATCTGCTCAGTATGTACCTTGTACGCATTTCATTATTTCCAAGGTGCATCTCTACCAGCGTGTGGGCTCCTCTAGGGCAGAGGCTTTTGCCTTGCTCTGTCTGCCCAGTGCATAGCACAATCCCCGGCACATAGTAAACATTTAATAAGTATGTGTGTTAACTGACCGAATCTAATTCACAAAACTTTGTCCAATCCTTAAGATAAAAAATAAGCTCAGTCCCTGGAACATTATAGTTCCTCTCCATACTAAAGCACAGCCTGCATTGTCCAGATATCTCATTTCAGATTTCCAAGGATTTCACAAGAACTACTATCTCCCACAGAACCTGCTGGGCTTTGCAAAGAGCTTTTCATTCATTATCTAATTTGATCCTCACAACAAGCCTGAGAGACAGCTATGCCAGGTTTTATTTTCCCCCATTTTAAAGAAAAAGAAAGAGTAGCAGCTCCCAAGGTGAAGTGAGCTGCCCATGGTCACACAGCAGTTCAAAGGGGAGTGTGCAAAGGGGGAGCACAAACACTGGCCTTTCGGACTCCCGGGCACCACTGTCCACTATGTGATGCTGCCTCTCACTTTCACCTGAATCCAATCAGAGGCTCAACCTCCATCATCCGGGCTTTCTTTCCTCCCTCTGGGAGAGAAAAGAAAATAAACAGGGACACGTGTGCCCTCTGGAAGTTTAATTAGGGAAAAATTATAGCATGAACCCCTGAAATACAAAGTCATAAATGACCATTAAGTGGTCCAAGGACTAGGAGACATTCCTATGCTGTGTACAGCGCTAGAATACCGAACAATTGGGTGATGATGGCTTTAAATTCCAAACCAGAAGGGTTAAAAAAACAAAGATGGGGGAAATGATTGAAATCCATGATGATATTAATTTGATCAAAACCAAATTAAAAGATTTTACCAAACTAAAAATATCACTATTTGTAAATAAACCAGTAATCATTTCAAGAGAATGTTCCCTCTTGGACTCTCAGACATAAAAATACTTACAGTTTGATAATGTGAGGGTGTCGGAAGAGTTTGAGATTTTGAATCTCTCTTTTGATTTTTCCCACCACATCCAAGCTACGAATCTTCTGTCTGTTTAAGATTTTTACGGCCACTTTGTGGCCTGTCAACTGGTGTTCTCCAACTGAGTAAAGGAAAAAAGAAAGAACTGTGAGCAGTCGTCAGAACTTAACAGTGAAGTAAAGTTACATAACCTGCTCTACCCCTTGGTTTGAAAAACGCTGCATCAGTGTGTGCATATTCTGTGTCAGTGTGCCCACACTTCTCATGTGATGAGATTTCAACAAGATACACGGGTTTGTGGAACGTGGTCAATATGGGCATTTGTTTTGCTTGACTATGCATATCTGTTACATGGGTTTGGGTTTTTTTCCATTTTTTCAGTAGGAGAGGGAGAAGAAAGGAGAGAAAATAAATGCTTGTGAATTTTAAAAAAGAAAATTTAAAAAAGAAAAGAATGACTTGCTGAATTCTTGTTTTGAATACGAGAAACATGTTGCTTCTGGCAAGTAGAAACATGACCGAAAGCTTCTGATATTCAGCAGGCGCCTCCACCAGGGCCCTCCTCAATTTTACTTTTACCAAGCCCCTCCTAGATGCCAGTGGAACGGAGTGGGTAGTGAGGTGATCTCAAAGTTAGGAACGTATCTGGGTTAAGCCTCGCCTCTGACACACTGGAGCTAGATGGGCACATCACAGCCTGTCAGCACCAAAGACAACTGTCTAAGATGTAGAGAAAAGGCCAGAGGGAGAGGCTGCAGAGAAGGTTTGAACCTTCACTGGGACAGAGTTTCTCCATCAGAGAATTCCCTCTCTGGGTGAAATCACAGGTCCACTCCCTACCCGATCCCCACAGGCCAGACATTCTGAGAGGTGCCAGGAATACGGACAAAAACAAAAGCATCTCAGACATCAAAGAGTTTACGTTTCACTGGATGGATATGACACGTCCACAGAAAAAAGTAACACAAGGAGAACAGGGGAGGAAAGGAGCAGAAACACCTCCAAGAGTCAGGGAGGGCTCCACAGAGGATGGGGCATCTGTGTGAAGCTTTCCGGGAAAACAAGGGGCAGCCAGGGGGATTCCCAGCCGGGGGACAGTCTTGCATGACAGCATGGAGGTGGGGGATGGAGTACCAATGGCTAGCCCTCCAACTGGTCTTCAATGCAGAACTCATAAAGGGCAGAAGTATGAAATAACGCAGGAAAGGCAGGTGGGGGTCAAATTAGAAGAGGAAAGATCTTAATTGCCAGCCTGAGGGGTTTGCATTTTCTCCTCTAGGGCAGGGAATAGGGACCCCCTAAAGTTGGCTCACCCTAAACAGAGCCTGCATTAAGCCAAAGACTATGCTCACAGAAAACAAGCTTGGGCAGGTCCTACAGCAAACCTGAAAGGCTTTGAGCAGAGGGCTGGTAGGGAACGTAGGTCTGCCGCTCAGGGATGAGCCTGCATTCAGACAGCGCCAGCCTTCAAATGATGGCCACCAAAAAACTGGATTTAGACTAAACCTGAATGTCAGCCCTGGCTCAGCCACTAATTAGGTGTGTGACTTTGAGCACGTAAGTCACTTAACTTGTCTAGACTTCAGTTTCCTCATGTACAAAATCAGGGGACTGGATTCATTAACAATAAGCAGCTCTAAACTTCTAGGATTGCACTAATGAATTCTGTTGACAACAGCAACTCCTCCAGGGCACTTCAGCTCGGAACTGATCTGCGGAAGGAATAACTGGACTAAAAAGAGCCTGGCTCTTGTGAAGGAGCAGAAAGATGGGTGTGTGAGTCTACAAGGACTCAAGCAAGGTCTCTCCAAGACATGTGTAAAAAACATACGTCTTTGATCAAGGGCCTCAGATGATCAATGGTTTTTCAGCTCGGTGTCATCCTCCTCTTCTCCCTCGCCCTTGCCCCACGTATCCCATCAAGTGCCACATCTTGCTACCTCTCTGACATCTCTCACATCTGACCCCCTCGTTGCTGTTCAATTATCACCTGAGTGCAAACCTCAGTTGCCATAAAACTCTTCCGATTGTCTCCCTGCCTCAAGTCTCTCCCCACTGCAGGCCCTTCTCCACACACACACTGACACATGCACACACATTTTTATCAATGTCTTTCATTTTTACATCACCTAAGTTATCCCCTGTCACAGACTGCCATCCCATATAACAAAGAATCAAAACACTTTTTCAAATATTCTAACCATCATCCACAGTTCATCCAGACCACAGTCTTCCATCACCAGGGCCATTTCCCTTAGAGTTTGTTCATCCTTTATTTTCAAAGAGGACCAAAGACATTATGGGGAGATGTTTTGACTTTCTTATGAATTGGATTTAAGTGAGGCAGAGCTGCACAAAGTTGTCAGCCTCACTCTCTCTTCCAGTCATCAAAGTCCAGTGGCAAGACAAAAGTCGGGATGTCTAGCGATGGCCCAGTATACAATGGATGACCTTGCTCTCTTCAGTGTCTGACCAAGTTTGAAGGGCTCCACAAAGCCTGCTTCAGCCACCTTCATGGCTGTTGGAACAAATTGTTCTCTTCTGCCCATTCTGCCAGGGGCAGTCTTCACACACTTTGGGTAGACATCTACCTAACTAACCAACAGGTTTGAGGCCTATCAGTTACCCTCCATCTGGTTTACTGGGGTATGGCTGCTACATATGCTACAACTTCTTGGAGCAACAGACGAGAGTTGGGTGACAGGTGGATACCGGAAGTAGAGGAGCAGCCCTGAAAAGGGCTCAGCAAGCCCTCACACAAGAGATGCTAGTCCTCCCTGCACCCCATACCACCCCCCCGAGAGTCACATGGGACTCAAAGACATTGAAAGAGTCACACAGATACTGATGAGGCCACTAGGGGTCCCAATGGATAAGGTGTCAAGAATGCCAGAATTCAAATACAGACTCAGACACTGTGTGACCCTGATCAAGTCACTTACCCTGTCTGTTTCACTTTCCCCACCTGTAATGTGATGAGATGACAATAACACCACCTTCCTCCCAGGATTATTGTGAGGATCAAATGAGATACATTTCTAAAGTATTTTGCTATCCTTTGAGGCCCATGTAAATTGTTTGCTATTATGACAAACTGTGATCTGCATTACTGAAAAGTAATTGGTGAGATTACAGACCCATCAGAGTGTCCAGGAAGTATCCCAGGAATTATTAGAGAGGACCAATGCCTGACTTTGTTTTAAGGTCAATGCTTTCCAAAGATTAACCTCGTGCATACCTTATGACTGTTTCCTAAGTCAATGACCTTTCTCTGCCAGGATTCCATGGGAAAAATTTCTTCAAGTATAAAAATACATTATTTGTCACTTTATTTTCTAGACAAAGGTTTTTACTTTGTATTTTGCCATGAAGTTAATCTTTGGAAAGCATTACCTCATGATCGCAAGAAGGAAAAAGGATCATTGTGATCACATTAAATTAAAAAGATCTGCACAAACAAAACCAATGCAACCAAAATTAGAAAGAAAACAGGAAACTGGGGTGAAAAAAAAAACTTGCACTGAATTTCTCTGATAAAGGCTTCATTTCTCAAATATATGGGGACCTGAATCAAATTTATAAAAATACAAGTCACTCCCCAATTGATAAATGGTCAAAGATATGAACAGGCAGTTTTCAGTAGGAGGAATCAAAGATACCTATAGTTATTTGAAAAAGTGCTCTAAACCTCTCTTGATTAGAGAAATGCCAATTAAAGCCACTCTGAGGCCCCAGACCTCATACCTATCAGATTGGTTAATATGACAGAAAAGAAAAATGATAAATGTTGGAGGGAATATGGAAAAAGCAGGACACTAATTGCACTGTTGGTAGAGTTGTAACAACTCCCATCATTCTGGAGAACAATTTGGAACTATACCCAAATAATTATAAAACTATGCATACCCTTTAACCCAGCAATACCACTACTAAGTCTGTATCCCAAAGAGATCAAAGAAAAAGGAAAAGGACCTAGATGTACAAAAATATTTATAGCAGCTCTTTCTGTGGTGGCAAAGAACTGGAAACTGAAGGGATGCTCATGAACTGGGAAATGACTGAATGAGTTGTGATACACGATCATGACAGAACACCATTGCCTACGATAACAATCAGGACGGTTTCCGAAGATCTTGGAAAGACTTAATATGATGAAAATAAAGTGAACAGAACCAGGACATTGTGCACAGTAACAGCAATATTGTACAATGATCACCTCTGAAAGGTTTAGCTATTCTTATCGATACAATGATCCACGACAATTCCAAAGAACTTATGATGAAAAATGCTATCCACCTCCAGAGAAAGAACTGATGAAGTCTGAGTTTAGATTGAAACTTTATTTTACTTTATTTATCTTGCCTTTTTTTTTCAACAGGGCTAATATGGAAATGTTTTACATGATTTCACATGTACAATTGATATCATATTTCTTGCCTTTTCAATGAGAATGAGGGGAGGCAGAAAATTTGGAACTCAAAAAAAATTTTAATGTTAAAAATAACTAATAAATTTATTTTTAAAAAGAAATAGTCAAACATACTGATATGCTATTTGAGTATTAGTGGTGAAGAAAGAGTAATATCAAAAGCATCAAAATTTTTCTTGTATTTGCCTATTTATATCAGCCTCTTTTATCTAACGTACCTTTGAAGAGAATTAACAAGTACTTAAATATAATTGAATTGAAATGATTTCTTACAGGGTAAGATAGTGCAATTTTCTTACATGGTATGATATTGCAATACCTCTCGAGAATACAAAGAACAGAGACATATGTGATCATAGATTTATAGCTATACGTGACATTAGAGATCCTATAGTCTAATGGCCACATTATACAAAAAGGGAAATTGTGGCAAAGAAAGGACAAATGACTTGTCCACAGCCATACAGTTAGTAAGTAAAGGAGGGAGAATTTGAACTCTGGTCTTTTGGCTCCAACGCCAGTGCCCTTTCTCCTGCACCATCCTGCCAAGAGTTCCTGGCCTTAAGGAATTCACAGTCTATTAAAGGACAGCCTACTGCTACAGATGTACTTCAAGGAAGTCAGACATTTGAAAGAAAACTAGCATGTGCATCAAATTATGTATAGCAGCACTTTCTGTAACAGCAAAGAAC